CAAGATGAGTGACCCCCGGCAGGCCCTGCTGAATTCAGGCAGAGCAGACCTAAGGTCACATTCAGTGATCTAACAGTCTTATTATACGCAGCTCCTTTAATTTATGAGCAGTTGGGCACTTTCTGGTGGATACACACAAATGTTGCGTGTTGTCACTTCACAGATGCCATGCAGTGAACTGAGAATCAAATTTTGATGATGCTGTGTTTTGTGTCAAAATTAAGAGCAAAAGAAAACTAATATTAAAAAAATAATATTATGAGTTTGCCTTAGCTAACTAGTTTATACCACCGGCCCTGGTTTGTGCAAGTCCAGCATGCTGGAATAACCAACCTTTGGTTTCTGGAAGAGTCTTCAGTTCAAATGATGTGTTTGGGTTGCTCAAGCCAATGTTGTTCTGAGCATTAATCTGAACCTGGTACACAGTGTTTGGCTCAAGGCCCTTGAGATGGTATTGAGTTATGCTGGTGTTCTTTATGATAATATCAATGTGGTTGTACTCAGCCTTGCCATAAATTTTGTAGCTGATGATGATGGAAGAGATGGAATGACCCTCAGCAGTTGTCCAAGAGATGACTGAAGATGTGTCTGTGGTGTTAGAAAACCTGATGTTGTACGGTGCAGGAGGGATTCCTGAGAACAAACACAGATACAAAGCGTTGGAGTGTACATCCACCTCTTTCTCCTTCCTGCAGTGAGACACTTTCCTTGGTGCTTTTGCTGTGCTAAGCAGAAGCAGAATTTTGTTGACGAGCTATGGTAACTGAATGCAATAGTTTTGTGAACTTGTGCTGCCACCCATGTTGCAGTACTCCATACTCCCAGCAGAGGTTGGGAGTGGCATTCAGTATACTCCTGTCCTTAGATGAAGATAGAAAGCTCTGAGCTGTATGCAAGGACAACATGATCGCTTTCAAATTAATGCAGAAAGGGTTAATTTCCTTCTATACTGAATTATCATCCCCACGTGATTCCCAGGTCCCATACTTTCACTGCTGCAGGAAGAAATTCCCTCTCAGGATACAGGCTGTTAGAAAGAAGGGAAATGGATACCAACATTTCCACAATTGTCATCAGAAAACCACCAGCAGGGGTGAGTGCTGGACTTGTGGACACACCCATGGCTACTAAGCTAAGTACCTTCTCCTGGAAAACAGTACCCTTACATTTTCCTTAGCGCAGTTTGGTGTCAGAGCTCAGAAAACTGCAGTGTCCCATGACAGCCATTGATACTTCTGTTAATACATGTAGGATCTCAGTGAGGGCCTTCCTCAGATAACCTGTAAGGGGGAAGAAGCCCACTTTTCCAGTGTGTGGTATGGGCAGGGGCACCCATCAGCTATTCAGATGGACGTCTGTTCAGGTGGTACTTCATTCAGATAGGGCATTTGTTGTGGCATTATGAAAGGACATTACTCGGGCTCAGGGAATTCAAAGGCGGTCATTGGTCCTCAGTGTAGCATGCTTAACTACTCTTTGCTCACAGGGGTTTTACCTTGCATTGTATCTTCTCTTCATTCTCTAAATGCTGACTATTTCTGTATTGACATAGCTCAATTTCAGAGTCTGAGTGGTTTGGGTTTTTTTGAGTAACAAAAGAGCTTTGAGTAGGGAACCCTGTGGGTTCATCGGTATGAGGAGGAAAAAATTGCTATGTAACTCAGAAGCATGATTTGCACTGAAATGAAGATGTGCATTCCCAAGCTTTTAATTTGTTTTTTCCATATTTTTTTTTATCTCATTATTAGTTCCTCATCATTTCCAGCATAAGAATTTCTTTAGAAACTGAACTATCTTCATAATAATAGTAATAACAAACACAAGTGATCATCAGGAACTCAGTGTTACCAGAATAAAGGATTACACTTAAAGTAGTCATTAAGTGACAGTGAGTCTGATCACTGGGGAAAACAGGATGTATTAAACAGAAGGATGTGAATCAGCTACTTACTGTCACTGAAAGTCCATGCATACAGATAGTTGCTCCATTCTCCTTGGGACCTGGTGTTCACCCGTACCCTGCACATGTATTGCTGTCTAGGCTCAAGATCTTTAATGATCAGGTTGGACATATTTCCTGGCACTTGAGTAATAACACTGCTCTCATCACCGTTGTCATTCACACTCTTCCTTTCCACTTCAACACGAATGTCGTCCTCTGTCCTCAGTGTTAAAGGATGCCATGACAAATTCAGTGATGTCATACTTTTTGGAAAGAGGGTGAGACCTTCTGGTGGAGGAAGACCTTGGAAAAGCCACAGTGAACAAGGAACAACATTTCATGTCTGGTATGCAAGCTAAAATAGGGGTATCGGTTATTGCCAGCCAGGAAAAGCTTGGAGTGACAAAGGGTAATTCTCCCCACCACACCACCCAGTTCAGCAGTAATTACATCTAAGAGGTGTTGATAGTCTCAAAGTATCTTAACAACGGCTGCTGTGTCAACAAAAAGGTTCTTCACTGAGATGGTGTTGCAAATGCACTTTTTAGATGTCAGAAACCAGCTCTTTGCTTTCATGTTAGATAGTTCCTGGTGCAATCCTTTTATTTTATTTCCGTATTCAGTTTGGGCTGTATCCTGAGTGGACTAAAAGCTTTTTTGCTTGTTCAGGCATCTTCATTTTGAAAGTAAACTGATCTAATACTAAGAGAAAGGACTGATTTGGTATTAGGAGGAAGGACTGACATGGAAAAGAAGTGATTTTTATCTCCAACTCCGCTGCATAGCCAGCCAAAATATGTAAATTTTCCTTTCCCAGATCCCCAACTCTAAATAAGGAACAATAATAGCTTTGCCTTTTTCTGGTTTTCTTCACCTCTGATTTTTTTTTCTTCTTTTTTTTTTCTTTGCCTAAGATTATTTTGAAAGACTGAACATAGTTTTCATATCCAGGCTTCTTTGCTCAAATGAAAGTGCTGTGGCAGAGATCAGGGAACAGAACACAGAGAAAAACAGCTGAAACAGCCCTTTTGTGAAAAGCCAAAATGATGACTTACCAAGCGCAGCTGTTGTGAAGCTAGCCTGTGGTCCAGGATGGCCTTCCCCACCTTCCCCTTGCCGACTCAGCTGAACACAGAACTGATACTCTGTTTTTGGTTCCAGATTGTCCAGTCTTTTGGTTGTGCCTTTCACTGACAATGAAAGGAGAAAGTAAAGCCATAGCCCATGCTGAAAAATGTTAAGGAAGAAAAAGCTTGGAAAATATTCCTGAACCACTAACCATGGAAGATTAAGATACTCGGGTTCTTCTTCCATTCCTGATTCACTAGGACTAACTATTTAGAAATAAAAAATACTTATTTTTAAGTTGAGCTCCAACCCAGCCTAACAGATGTTTCCATCTGCCCTTCCTTCAAGGATAGAACAAGACTAGTTGCTTAGGCAGTAGGCATTGTATATCCAGATGTTGGATTATCTTGAATTAGTAACAACAGTTGGTTGTTACTTCTTAAAGTTCATGTAATGTTTCCTATAATATTTTAGGCCTTTTGTAAAATGTTAAAACAGGGTTGGAAGAGGTCACCTCACTCACAAGCAAGTTTCATTTTGCCCATACCATTCCTGATAAATATTTAGGTAAGATATTTGTCTCACCAGAGGGCACAATAGACACAAAGGGAGATTGTAGATGCTCCAGGATGTCTCCATACTTCTCGCTACTTTTGAAAACCTACTATTTACGTGGGAGTTTTCAAGAGCTGGGTCTAAGATGAGTACTGTTTATCTTAAGGAAGGAGGGGGGAGTCTTTGATTACTGAAAACTGAATACACACTTTTGATTACTGTTGGTGTACCACAGCTACATTAGCATTATACAGTGATATACAGTCACGCATGCAATCATAAAAGATTCAACTTTTATGTGTTGCAGAGTCTTCTGAGTCAAGTCAAGAGCAGACACCACATCAAGTTTCAGCATGCAGCTGAAGTTTGTGTTTAAGGGAATTAAAAAACATCCTCTTACCTTCCACAGACATCCAGGACTGATAACGTTTTGCTGGCTTGTACAGGAGTTTTGTTGACACAACAGGTCCATCTCCAAGATGTAACTCAGCATTGATATCAATTATGAGAAAATTATGTCCACTGTCTGTCAGCCTTGGGGCATACTGTGGCACAGGAGGAACTGAGCAAGAACGCAAGTATTAAACCAGCCTTTTAATTCCCTATATCAGTAAAACTCTGGTATCTTCCTAGATCCGCAGGTAAACAGGACATTTTCTTCAAAAGTCTTGCAAAGTAGACAGGGATTTACAACCCAAACCTGACAGCTCAGATCATTCAACAAAAACCCTTGGGTTTTCTTCTAATCCTTAACATAACACTTATTTTTTCAATACACATAATTAGTATGTTGCTTATAAAGGTTTTCTGTTCATATTCTGGCTGTAGATATTCCTGCAGGCATTATCCTGCAGTACAGAGAACAGAAAGCTCTGGCATGTTAGATTATATAGCTGCCCTTAAAAGCAGAGAGGAAAAGATGTTTGAAGAGATTCATGTTTTTACCTTTGACTGTAACTTGAAATGGTTTCTCTGCCATTCCAGCTACTGTCTGCACACTGCAGACCCAGGTTCCTGTATCACGGGGCTGGATTCGATTAATCGTAAACATGGCTTCAGAGCGATTACTGGTAACAGTTAGGGCAGGCTGAAATGACAAAAGACATACAGGGCCTGAAAAATGTGGGTATCTAGGAATATTCCCATGACACTTTCTCACAGTTTAGGAACTCATCTAGAGTTTAGTTATATCAATAGAAAGGATCTACAATGGTCAATGCCATAGTTTCGTATGTGCTCCAGCTCATGAGGTATCTCAGAATATCATAATTTCACATTATACTTGAAAAGCATAGTGTGCGTTAACTACTGATAAAGTCAATATAAACATCAGAAATAACTGGAAGTTATAGGAAATTAATCAGGAGCCTACCCTTAGGACAGTTCCGTCTTGCTTCAAAAGTTTAAATTCTTCAGATTTAGGAAGTGGCATCCCAGTTGCTATACAAAAAGGCTTGAACTCGACGCCAGAATTGAGTTCTACAGGATCTAGTAAGTTTTCTATCTGAGGTGAAAGATCTGCTGA